TAGCTTAATCTTAACATTATTATAATTATCGTACATAAATGTATACATACAGACACCTACATACATAAACGCATATCGTAGTAAATAAATGTAACCAATTATTTTTTTGTAAAATCAATTATCATTTATTTCGCCACCCTTCCGATTCACTGCATCTAGACAAAGATCGTACAGGTCCAATACAGGTTCCTAGTCAAAAGGATTAAGTTCCTTGATCTAAAAGAGGACCGATAGATGTACTATCTTGAATAGCGTCGCGTATCGATGTTGACTCATATATTTGGGACATAATCAAGTAGCTGCCGCCTCAGAGCGATAAACACAAGAATAGTATCAGTTGCGTCCTTCCTCGGCTCCCTGTTAATTCTTTGTTCCTTTTGAAATAAATGAATCCTGGGGGGTCTGGATGTAACAATATATATATATATATATATATATATATATATATATATACATACATACATACATATACTTTTTAGCATAGGTATTAATCAAAATTTTTCAGGAACGATTTTTTTCTTAAAAAAAATAGGATCTTTTTGCGTTCAATTTGTTTATAACTAATTCAAGTTGCAAAATAAAAGCTGTTGTACCTAACTTGTTATTAAAGTAGTATCTGAGGATCATATAACAATTTATTGCATGTGCAGAAATCTTAAGAGCGGAGTTTGAGAATCATAAAACGAAAGAGAAAAAAATGTTGCATTATATGCAACATCGTGCAGCAAAAGGTTAACATGGTAGGATGATTTCTGGAGAGTACTAGCGATAAAAAAACAATCATATTCTGCTTATTAAATGAGATATATCTGACTAAATTTGTTGCTTCAGGTTATCTAATCGAGAGATCAGCATTGTGTTGTCTCAGCATAAAAGCTGAGAAACAATCTGAGCTGCAAATATGTTTTTCTTCTAATAGTTCGGAATATTAAATTAAAAAGCGCGGCACATTCATCAGCAAGTTTCCAAACTTCGTTTGTTGAAGGATCAAACATATTGCCATTGCAGCGATTCCTTGTTCTTCCAAAAATACTTGACCAACTGCAAGTTACATGATCTATAAGACGGTTTGGGGTATTGGAGTGTTTCTTTTTTTTACAACGTACCGAAACAGATTCGAGTAATGTTAAATTTTTCTGATATTTGTCTCACGAAATATCGTTTTGAAAGGATTGTCAATTTCAAGTTGAGCAGCTCGCTCCATTACATCATATTTTTCCTCTCAGTTTTTCTTTTATATTTTTGCGACATGATAACCTTTAAAAAAAAAGAACACAGCAAATAAAAACAGTAAATAAAAATATTTTTTAGTATGCCACAGTATTATAAATTAAATAGTTTTCTGATGGAATAAGTTGCAACAATTGTTGCAATCTAAGAGAGACGTGAATAATTATCTTCATAGCTGGTATCACTGTACCGCCTCCGCGGAAAAATATGCCGATCACCTTACCGTCGCTCCTACAAACTGACAATGAAAACGGAGAATGGATGGCTAAAATTGCAACTTGCCAAACCAATCCTTACCATTCCTGTCGATATCATTGGAGGTTGAACCGAGACACATGGTAGGTGTATAGCATTTCGCAGTCCACATGACAATATAATCAAATCAGCAGATGCCAAATGGCACATATGATTCAATGGCGACAGAACAGTATGTACGTCCGTTAAGAAGAAGTTCCTCTAATTCAGGCACTGTTTGAGGAAAGGGGGATAATGCACAACAATGTCACTGCACTTCGTTCAAACGCATCGTTCTCGGCAAAAAAATCCGCCGGATACCGCTGCATTGACTCATGGTCACTTGCAAGTGATGAGAGCGCGATGCGCTCTTTAACTAATTATATATTATATATTAAATATTTATTAAATTTCATTTATGTTAAATTAAGTCAGATATTTATATTATTAAATACATATTTTATATCATATTATTGAATTTAACATTATACCAGGATGTAAAATTCAATTTCGTTTGTTTCATTCCTCACCGGATTTTTTTTGCGATTTAATCTTATTCTGCATTATCAGTAAAGCATGCCTTTGCCCATAGGCAGATGGGCAATCTAACTTACTGATGTGTAGGTATCAGAAGCATCCTGTACATTAATCGCTATTAAAAAAAATCACACTTGCAGTTTCCGCACAATATCATTATTCATATACAAAAGTTTTTCGCAATTAAAATAGAATAAGTCGCAATAACGTTAAAATGTTATGACGTTAAATTGAATTGTGATTGATTAAAAAAATGACTTTTAGTAAATATCGAGAAGCCATTTTAACATCATGATTTTTTGTTCTGTTTAAATGTTTTTCAATTTATTGCCTATAATTTAGAAACATTTCTATTAAAATATTTTATATGGCATATTGCAGAATCCTTTTGGAATTGTTGCACATGAGATGTGAAACGTTGAAACATTTCTGAAAACTTTCCGCAATATTGGTGCTATATAGGATACCATTAATGTGATTTCCAAATCTGAGTATCTGTCAACTTTAACAGTTAATATTTCGATTCGCGGGGCAGAGCGATACTTTTTTATCAGATTCGTTCATTTTATGCAAAAATGCGTCGAATAAGTCTAATTTTATTGAATTTTGAAATGCATTAGCTAAACTGTGTAATCACTCTTGAAACGCGACATTCCTATTAGCGAGTTTCCGACTGCGATTCCATTCATGCGTTTTTGCTGGTTTACGAGTGGAATAAGCTTTCCGCCTATTCTTCTAGCTCGGAATAAACGTAAGCGAAAAGAGAAGGACAGAAGGTTATAATTTATTCTTTACTTCAAATAAATTTTTCTAAAGTAACAGTACCACGAGAAAAGCAATTTCATATAACCTCCAAAAGCATGTCATTTTTACACAGAAAAAAAGATTGGGTGCTGCAATAATTATATTAATATAATAATAATTTAAATGATAAAATATGGTATAATATTTTTTATTGACTGTAAGCAGACAATAAAAACAATAACTGTGCCATATTTAGCCATTCTTTTATTAGTGTATGATAGAAGAAACTATTGGTATATTATCGCTGATTGATTCTCATTCCGATTGGAATCGACATTTTGCCAGCTCGAGAGGTGTCGGAAACTTTCCGCTCAATTTGGAATCAATCCGAAATGTCCGTAATAACCCATCTAGAGAAAAACGGAAAAATTCCAATCTTTATTTTTGCACGGACGAATCCTCGTATGAACATAATCATCATTTTTTGCCTATATTATCCCAATTTTTTTGGAAATATGTCGTGATAAGCAAATTTCAAGGGTAGCATTGTTTTCAAAGTCAAAAAGTTGGAAATTGTATTTCGCAATCTTTCTTTAAAAGTAAGAACAATTGTTGATATTTGAAGACATGCATAAATAAACAAGAAATCACATAAATTGAAACACTACACAGCAATCCATAATAATAGAATATAGAATTAGTCATCAGCATGATTTGGATTGGGAAAATGTGAAGATATTAGACGAAGAAAGGTGCTTAATAAAAGACTGATTTCAGAATCCATATAAAGCAACAAAAACAGAGTTTGAATTTGTAGAATGATACGTATTCTTTAAACCTATTATATATGAATTTGTTTACGGAATTGTGACATTGTCTTCCCCTCTTTGTTCTTATTTCTATTTTTATTTCAATAACTACATGACTTTATTATTTTAACTCTCATCTCTGTCGACACCACAAGACCTTTACGTCGAGTCGCGAGAAACGTTTACATGTAAGCTAATAAAATAAAAATTCAGATAAATGATTTTAATGATTCTCTAATTTTTCGTTTTTCGTGTTTCTTTTGAATGACTACATAGCAAATCTAACAATCTGATAAGCAATATGATTCTACTTATTGATGCAATATATATGACTTTGGTTTTATAATACTTTAGTAAGTAATACTTTGGTAAGTTTTTATATTATTATTGTATAAGTTAATATTTTTGATAATCATTTGATGTTCATTACATAGCTAATTTAGCATTTGGATAAAGAAGAATGAGCTAAATTGTCAGGAATCTTCTTGGAATGCGTTACTTATGTAATTTCGATTTATATTTTATATTGATAAAGACCCGAATTGAAGGAAATGTATTTTATTCATTTTGTTACAATCACATGAAAATAAAGAACTTTTGTGCATCCAAACAGTTGATGTAGGCTTTGATGAGCTTTATTATATTCTTCACTGATGGATATTTCGCAAAGACAAAATCAGTGTCGGACAGTGTAATATAATACAACATTAAAAATATAATATTTTGAAGTCTTATTATTTTTATAACTTGTTGCAGAAAATCGTTTCGAATGACTAAAGAATTTCCATGCGTATTGACTAAATAGAACGATTTCGAATGCTGTGTAATAATAATGCAATTTATGCGTTTTATGCACAACTCGGAATGCATCCAACGGAAGTACAAGACCATAAAAGCAATGCGAAAAATGTAATCTGAAATAGTCAAATATCAGGACGATAGATGGATACCTTTTTAAACGTCAGAAAATCATGTTTGATTCATTTTATTAATAATTACAATATTTAAAGAACAACTAATGACGGCTTTTTCTAAGTTATTCAGAAGAATATCCTTGATAATATATGTCAAGGTCATTGATATCTGTAAAATCGGTCCTATTGTATTATGCATAATTACTTAATTTTTAATTGACATAATTGATATAATAGCAATTAAAATGTTTTAATTTTTATTTGTTTTAAATCCAAAAATGCTATAATATATAGATTCTATTTTAAAATAATTTTAGTTTTTAGTTTTTTGTTGAAGAGTTTTGAATACAAATTTTTTACCTATTTCTCAATAATTGTAAATCTTCTATTTCTACAGAACTAAAATATAAAACTTTACTAATTTTGTTTTAAATTAGTGCGATAAATGTGAAAACGATTTGAGAGTCATAAGCGCTCACTCAAATTTATTCAATTATTATATAATTTATTCGATTATAATTAAAATACTTACATTCGTGAACATGATTACATCGACTGGAGAAAAAAATGTGTTTATAGTCATAGGTTTTTGCATCATCATCAGAATAATGTTTGTTCTCATATGATGATCGAGATTAGAATTAGGCCATTCAGCAAAGTATATTCCTTTACGAAAGTCATCTCCCTAAACGCATATATCCGAAATGATTAATTTTGAATTATAGTAATCATTATATATCAGATTATGTTATAACTTACCGCATTTATGAGGATAGTGCCATACCATGCGTATGTAAATGTTTGAATCAGTTTTACTGCAGCGAATGATAGAAACGCTAATGCGTTGGATAAATTAAAGTCCACAAACTATTGCAAATATTTTACGATTAATATTATATCAGCACATATTTATGTAATATGATACTATAGTACACGAATGAAAGATTTGCAAGCAGATTTTGTTTCTAAATTTTTAGAAACTGTGCAAAAATTTAATAATGACATAACAAAGTATTTTATTTTAAATAATACAATATAGGGCTAAGAACCATTCAGGATAATATGTGACAAAATTATAAACAATTTAAATTCGTGCAGATGTTATGACCCCTATCGGGTTCTCTTCAATGATAAAAAATAAATTTTAAAATGTTATCGATAACTATGCAAGATGTTCAATCATCAAAATATAAAAAGCGCATGTTGTACTCGCATGTTGAAAAGAATAATTGTGACAAGATACGGCTTAGATTCAAGCAATTTTACATTTTGAAATTGTTGCTAGTCGATGCAAAAGTCACATACTTGTATGAGGTCTATTATACCGTTAGCTTTTTCTCAAATTTACAATGGATTGATACAATGAAATTAATGTAATAAAGATGCATACATGCTTTTTTCATGTTCTTCCTGCAACTACAATATACAAAATAATTACCTTACACTGTTAACATTGTATTTAATGATATCAAAAAATAATTGTGTCATTATGACTATATTTTACATTAAAGAAATTGAACGTCAATTATTAAAAATAATTACACAAAATATAAAAATAAATAGTAAATACCTGCTAATTAACTTAAATCGATTAATTCAAATTAATTGAAAAAAATTGTACAATACTAAAAATAATTATAAAATACAATAATATATCAAACGAGTCTGAATACTGTCAAACTCTGAATTGTGATGTTAGAACATTTGAAATGATCTTGCCATTTAACAAGGGAAGTGGTGACAGAAATGACGTAGGAAGGATACTAGAAAGGCGAATTCAACAAGAAAGAAAGAATTGTAAGAGAGGTAGATATATATCAGGCAACGGATCGGTCCGTCTGTCTATTCAATCCATATTTTTGCTTTTTAATGTGAATCATTTCAGAAATAATTCTTTTTTTATAGTAATATATAGGCTCATTGTCCAAAATTTCGACTTTTTCCCACTTGCATTCATGATTAAAACTAGTACGATAGTCAGAAATTACTGATGGAAACTTTGTTTCCTTGTTAATATCAGATTGATGTTCATTTGTTCTAGATGTTCATTTGTTCAGTTTGTAATCTTCTTTTTGCCTGATCAACATAACTAGCTTTACAATCTGAGCATTCAATTTTATAAACATCCTGTTTTGAGAAATAATCTAAACGATCTTTTCCCCTGTGTATAAATTTCTTTAAGTTGTTAGATATGGTGAAAGCTGTCTTTAGATGCTCGTCAAAAGCTATAGACATAAAACTCTTATAGATGGATTTTATAAACGGGATATTGAAATATTTTTTATTAAGTAACCTTGTATTAGAGTGGGGATAGTAGTAGAATTAAACCACAATTGTTTTCCACAATTGTCTAATTGTGGAAAAAATACAAGCAAATAGATAGCCATTATCTAAAAGAATGCTTATAGTATCTTCGAAATTTTTTTAGTGATATTACGGATGGGAAAGTAAAAAAATTCTATCCATCATACCATACACTACATTTTTTTTATGACAAGTAGATTGATTCGAATGGAAGCTGAGATATCTATCCGATGACGTCGGTTTCGAACATTTAAATAGATATTTAAAACACAATATTAATTTTTTGAATCTTAAGTATAACAAAACATTTGTTTGATAGCATTCAACAGAATTTTGTGAAAAGGAAAACTGGAATTCAGAGATTCGTATAATTTTTTAAAATTAATTTGATACTGTTAATCCATTAGACAGGGTACATGAGAAATAGTTTGTCAATTTAAGTGATGTTGATGTTCCACATGATGTCCAATATTTATTACAACTAGATGAACGATTTGGATTGCCTTTGATTCAAGATAACAAAGAAGAAACTATAATAAAATTTATAAAACAAATTGAGAACAATGTATCTAATCGTCCAAATAATATATAGTTAACTACATTAGAAATCATTCAGTTATTATATTAAATAGACTACACCATAATAATCCATCGTTGAATTGTGATGAGATTATATTAATTAAATGGATTAAAATTACTAAAAAATTTATTAAAGATCACCCGGATTTATTTTTCACTGAGGCAGATAAGGGGAATATCACCATTGCTATTGACAGACTTGTTTATGATCAGAAAATATGCTTTCAGATGAGAACGTATATTAACACCCCACGAGAAAGCTTAATAATTTAACGCAATATACTATAAGATGGAAGATCAAAAAATTTATTAAAATTAACATATAAAAGGCTTCTCATTACCGATGCAACTATCCCTAGATATTACAGCGCGCCTAAAATCCATGAACAGAACGTTCAGATTAATAGTCTACAATCTCTCTTGTTTTTTATATTACATCATTAAAGAAAACAGTAACACATAGTCATGTGGAAAATAGTTTCCAATTGGTAGAGCTGAACGGATTGGTAGAACTGAATGGAAAATATTTTGAATAATAATATGACGATAAAAAAAGTAAATAAATTCGATTCTTAAAATATAAACGTAAAAAAATATTAATAGGAGTTAAATATACTTAATGGAAAATTGAGATATTATTACATGTTTCGGCTTAGATTAAGCCATCTTCAGATATTCTCCTCTTTACACTTAAAATTAATTATCATCGTAGAAATAAAAAATCATGCTATAATGTGTTTCAACTTGTGTAGCGATCTTAATGAATGTTGAATGGAAGACATTAATTACTCACAAACAATTTGCTGACCAATTGTTAAAAATTTGTGAAAGATTTTGTGAAGATCTGTAAGATCGCAGTTATTATTTTCGTAAGAAAAATACACCGTCCAAATTATTGTCAAAAATGTGTAGAATGTAATAAAAAATACATGAGTCAGTTTGAAGATATTTTCAGATTTATATTTTAGCTTCATTGGATGTGATTTCGCTCTTTATTAATGTTTCGATTGATTTAGCATAGAAAAGTAGAACCAAAAGATGGAATTATAGCGAATAATACAAAAATAACAGGAAGAATTTATGATTGCTACGAATTTTATTTTTAATTCTACATTTTTTGTCTTTCATAGTTTGTTCTACAGATATATGACACACCGATGGGATCGCCTTTGTCCCCTATTACAGCAGAAATAGTTTTGTAAGATTTAAAAAAACAGGCTATGGAGAGGTTGTCATTACAATTGCCTTTATATTACAGATATGTGGATGACATTATCTTGGCAGCTCCACAATTAATTACATATTAGACACTTTTAATTCTATGCAAGAAAGATTACAATTCACTATCGAAATTAGTAATGACAACTGACTCAATTTTTTGGATGTCACAGTGATATTACATGACCATTTTATTATTTTTAACCGATTTTCGAAACCGACGTCATTGAATATTTCAGCTTCTATTCGAATCATTCTATTTGTCATAAAAAAGGTGTAGTGTATGGGATGTTGGACAGAATTTTTTTATTTTCTCATCCGTAATATTACCAAAAAATTTCGAAGATACTATAAGCATTCTTTTAGATAATGGCTATTCACTTGCTTTTATTTTTTTCTGCAATTAGACAAAGGCCTATTTCACTGCTATTCCCAACCTAATACAAAGTTACTTAATAAAAACAAAAAATATTTTATTATTTCGTTTGTAAAATCCATTTCTGAGAACTTTACCAGATGTATAAGCTTAAATCCGCTGTTTTTTAGTCAGAAAAACACATTTTTTTTTCCTAGGAAGCAAAAACAAATTTATTCAAAGTACTTGCCCTCGCTAACTATATTTTTTCCCATCTTTCAGGCAATTTGTGTATACCATGCCAAAAAAATTCCTCATCTTTCGAGGCAAACCACTCATCAAGCCATTTTCGGACGTCTTCGTAAGAATCGAAGCGCCGCTCAGCGAGCGCGTAGCCATCGACGAAAACAGGTGATAATCAGAAGGTGCCAGGTCTGATGAGTAAGCGGGAAAGGATAGCACTTTCCAGTTGAGTGTCTCCAAATAGTTTTGGACTATTGTTGACGTGTGCGATGGTACGTTGTCGTGGAGGAAAATCAACTTGTCATGTCTTTTCCGATAATGCGGCCTTTTTTTACGCAGAGCACGGTGCAATTTGATCAGTTGTTGGTAGTAGCGGTGAGCATTAACAGTTTCATCAGGTTTTAACAGCTCGTAGTAGATGACACCCTCCTGATCCCACCAAACGCACAGCATCGTCTTCCGTCCGAAGCGATTTGGTCTTGAGGAAAATATTGATGGTTGGGCGGGATCAACCCAAGATTTCTTGCGTATAGGATTCTGAAAATAGATCCACTTTTCATCGCCTGTCACAATCCGATGCAGGAACGACTTTCTTTTTTGTCTGGCAAGCAGAATTTGACATGTGTTTTGGCGTCGCTCCATCTGCCTATCGTTCAGTTCATGCAGCACTCATTTTCCGATCTTTTGAACCTTCCCCATGGCATGTAGCCGCATGAAAATGGCTTGAGAAACACCCAATTGCTCGGCAAACATTTTTTGCGCTTGGGTATCATCCTCGTTCAAAAGAGCCTGCAATTGTCCTCAACCTTCTTGGGCCGATTTTCACGCTTCTTGTCACTCAGGTCAAAATTGTCGTCATTGAACCGGCGAAACCAATCTCTGCACGTTGTTTTCGATAAAGCATTGTCGCCATAGGCCTCCACAAGCATTCGATGCGATTCGGCAGCCGATTTCTTCAAATTGAAAAGCAAAGCTTCCCGCATATGTTTTTTTTTAGCAAAAAATTAGACTGATTACGAAAGAAAAAATGTATGTTGTTGTTAAAAACAGATGTCAAACACATAAAAAAAAGTGTGTTGTGTGCCCAGGGTAGCTTTGTACGCTCACTAATGCCACCTATGAGCAAACAGCGGATTTAAGCTTATACACCTATGTCTACAGCTTTTGA